CGAGATCACCGTTTAAACACTTGTTGAAACTTGAGAAAAAGTTTGCAAAGTTAACATTGAGTAGTATATGTTTCACACTTGTTAGAATTTATGAAAAGTTTGCAGGTCAGTATCTTGCCAAAGTATGAAAAGCATACAAAAAATTCTAAGTATTGAATCAAACAGAGGCAGTCAAAGAAAAGGCAAAAAAGAATGCAATCATTCAAAGAAAGATAGTTATGTTAAAATATCCAACACAAACAGAAGGCACATCGGCCGTACAGAGAAGCTTCTACTGTCCAGAAAACAAAAAAGTACAAAAGACAAGAAAAGAGGGACATCAAAATTATGATTCTTCTACTTCAGTCATAATTTGAGACTAGACCTCGGCTGATTCTTGGAGAACTACCTTGGCTGATTCCTGGAGAGCTACTTCGGCAGTCTTTTCCACCTCGATTTCGGCGTCAATCTGCGCAAGGGTTTCATCAAGACTTTTTTCGGCTGGGGGAACGTCAGATGAGGCCTGTTCAGGAGTAGTTTCCTTGGCAACTGCATCACCATCATCATCTTGAGTCAGGTCCAAGACCTGCTCATTCAGAGAAGGAGACTTAGGCCCAGCAGCCTCCTTGGATCTCCTTACTAAAGCCTCATCCTCACCTTCCTCCTCATCTTCAGACTCAGATTCAGATTCTTCTTCAATTTGACTTGGAGTTGGAGGAGGAGGGGGGAATGGGAGAGGAATAGCTTCGGCCTTGCGCAGAGGTGAATCTTCAGGAATATTGAGCTTTTTGGCCAAGGACATCCAACCAAGGGAAAAGCCCCTGTTGCATGCCTGCCTTACTTGTAATTTGTATTCCTCTGTAACATCGGCCATTCCTTGGGCAGAGGCTTTTTCATCGGCCTCTTTGATTTCAGCATCTTTAGTGGCCAAGGCCTCCTGAAGTTCCTTTTCGGCTTGGGCCTTTTTGTCATCGGCTTCTCTCTTCTCGGCCTCGGCAACCTTCTTGATGGCCTCAGCAAATTCGGCCTTTTCTTCGGCTAGGGTTTGGGCTTTGGTGGCAGCCTCAGCCTGGTCTTCCAGCTTTTTCATTTTTGATTGAAGAATTTTGTTCTCCTTTTTAAGGGCAGAAACCTCCCTCTTCATGTCGGGCAACTTTGCCCTGTTTTCAAAAGCTTGCATCGAGAGAGAGTGGGCATGTTGAATGGCCTGAAAGAGCACAGGGCAAAAATTATTACAAAATTTTACAAAGTAAAAGAGAAGACAAGTTTCCATGTAAAGACACTTACTTAGACAGAACGTTGGAGCATAAAAGCATAGTTCTCGTACTCACTCATCTTGGCATTCCGCTCAAGATCACCAGGGAGAAGTAGGGCGGTACTAAGTGCTACGCCGACATTAATGTCGTCGGCACTATCGCTGGCAAGAACAGGCTTATCTTCTAAAGTAATTTCAGGCGTCCAGGGGACTTTTGGTATTCTGGACCCCGAGGTCGTCGCAGACGATGACCTCGGCTTCTTTGATTGTATAGACTCTGATGGCTGTGTCTCAGCAGACCTTTTTTTAACGGAAGCTGTCTTCTCACTCCCCTCCAATTGTGAAATTGTCAGGGTATCCTCAGCCTCAACTTCAGTGGCTTTAGCCTTTGGCTGGGCTTTTTTGGTTCGTTTCGGCTTTGGTGGGAGCATGGTTTGCTTCGGCTGAGCATTGACGTCAACAGGGAGATTGACAAGGAGGTCTTGAGCAACGAGCTTTGGGCGACCCATCTCAGCAGTTTTGACAAGTCTTCGCCGACGTTTTCGTTCTTGTATTAGGACCAAGTGTGGGGCCGAAGTAGATGGTTGATTGGTTGGGTCAGATGTTGATTCTTGATCTGTTCGTGATGTAGAGGCGGTTTGAGTTGTGGCAGTAGGAGGAGAAAGGCTTTTCTTCTTTCTTTTGGGGACGTCGGGTAAAATCGATTTGTATGTAGGAATAAAGTTGAGAAGAAGAGGTGCTTTTCTTTTGTGAACTGGCAAGTCCAGGAGTTTTTTTAGGTCCTTACTAGGAACGTAAGATTGGCGGAAGTCTTTCGCTAGCTTGCGAACGTCTGCAAGAAGAAACAGACATTAGAAACAGATAAAATATTGAAAACTTGAACAGAAACAGCTAAGTATTGACACTGGGCTCTTACCCTTGCCCTCTTTAACTGATCGGGGAAGAGGGTAGAGATGGGCGTCCTCGTCTGAGCCAAACTCCCAATTTTCCGAAGCAATAACATAATCATCTGCAGCCCCCTTGTTGGAGTCTGGAAGGTCGGCTACGATTTTGAATTCAGTGGACCTCGGCTTGAGGTAATAGATATAACCTTTTTCCTTCAGGTTAAGGACGCACATGGTATAACAGTATTGGATGTCGCCAAGGGTGATCCTAACGTTCTCCTACCTAGCTAAGGCGATAATACCAAAAATCACTCGATAAGAGTTGATTGCCAGTTGCATGGGGTTCAACTTATAATAATGAAGAATCTCGCGAAAAATGATGTTGAGTAGGAGCCGGAGTCCGTACTCAGTAAAAGCTACAATGGGAAGGGGCATGGCATTTTTCTATAGGCATGATGGAGTCATCATCACCAGCCAGTCTCAAATGGACATCGGCAGGGATGGAGAACTCCTGCCTAAAGTACTCAAGTTTGGTCGGGGTATCTACCCTATGTCTCTACATACCCATGATATCGGCTTTTATTAGAAGGTTTGAAATTCAGAAGATGATCTTAAGGGGTTATCGGGACCTCGGCGAAACCCTAGGTATATGCTGGTAAGGATTGTTTTAGTTTTTTCCTAAGAATTGATAGATTCTATAGACAAATCCCAAACCTAAATCTATAAAGGCAAAGATTGAAAGCAAAAATTGAAGGCAGAGATTTGAAAAAATAACAACAAGAAACCAGAACGCAGTTTCAGAATGAAGAACAGAAGTGGGGTTCTCAAAAGCATAAAGAAAACAAGAACTACAAGACCAAGAACAGTGGCAAAAAAGCAAGAAGTAGTGAACAATAAATATGATTCACAGAATTAACAGTTTAAACAGAACAGTAATGGCAGCAAGAAGATAGAAGAACATCAATGAACTGAATACATAAAGGAGTGGCTTACCAAAGATATTGAAGTCGGAATAAAGTTCGCCAAAGACAGACGACGGTTACAGAAGTGACAGAGTAGCGAGAGCCTCACCAGAGAGACGAATGAAGTTGCAGAGCCTGGAGCTTGAACAATGACAGATTCGAGAGACAGAGCTTAGAGAGAAAAAGCAAGTGAATCAAAACACAAAGTAAAGAGACGAAGGCAAAGGTAGTGTTTTTGTTGAAAACGTGAAACGGCGGCAAAGTAAGGCACTTACTGCGCCTGGAAAAATGCATGCGTCAGACGGCGCAGACAGATTAAGACGGCTTACAAGCGCGTCATAGGCACGGGCTAATAAAGATGAAACGCGTGTCTAAAACAGTTGAATTGAAGTGCATGACAGCTCATGCACGTAAAAAGTTCCTTAAAAATCTTTGATTTTTTAGGGAAAGCATGTCGGCCAGAAATGAATGATCTTGGCTATCAAACTTTAAACCAATTTACTGGAAAAAAATTTTGATATAGGTTCCATCACCTCAGAATGCCAAGCCCAACCTATAGAACCTAGGGGGCAATTGTGGGGATGTATTTTCTGAATACCAACACGTAACAAGGTGACGCCGACGTGTCAGCCAAAGTGCCACGTGTCCTGGTTATGACGCCGAGGTTATCTCGCCGAAGCCGAGGTTATCTCCGAAGATATCGAAATCCGAGATAAGCGGATAATGGATAAGGGGCAAGAGTCCTAGAGTACAGAGAAAACTTTGCTAAGATAAGGATAAAGCTCCTAGAGAGTTTATCTTTATCTCTTGAGGAATCCAAAGTAAGCACTGAATTGGAGTCCATAGAAGTCAGGCTTCTAGTGGGACTTGGATTGAGTAAACTATAAAAGAGAGGCACCCCCATGGGTCTAAGGTACGCAGTTTTATGCTTTGGGTAGTGAGTTTAGCACTTGATTATCTTTGAGAGATATACTGACTTGATCGTCGGAGTGCCCCCGGGTGGCAGAGCCACCGCCGGAGCCTTTTCTTTCTGTTACAGGTTTGCTGAAGCCATCTATTCTGTTAGTGCCCTCCAGCTGATTACTAGGCGGGCAGTGTGGTCAGAAAATCACTCACACAGTTAGATGTGAATAGTGTTATATATATATATTTTTTAGACATTTCAGCTCACAAATTTTTAGATTTGAATAGTGTTAGATTTGTTGAATAGTGTCAGATCTGGAAGATGATGATCTTGTCGTGATGTTATGTATCTCACAAATTGTGTTTGGATTTGGATATGTGTTTTGTTTGAATAGGTCTTCATTCACTGATTTGGATTTGGATCTCAAAAATTGTTGAATAGGTCTTCATTTGGATCTGTGTTTTGAATTTGGATCTTCATTCTCTGATTTTTTTTTTTTTTTTAGTCGAGGAATTTTCGAGGTCGGGGTTGGGGCTGGTGATAGGTTTCCTATCAGGGATCCGGGACGGGGAAATTTACACCATCGGGGATTAGGGACGAGGGATGTGATCCCCAGCCCCGTCCCGGCCCGTTGCCATTCCTAGTCCACTGACCATCACGGTTTTATCTTTATGGTCTCTCAGAGAAAACCTCACATAGTTGAGGATGGGCTATTCCATATATGGTTGGTCAGATAATTAGTATCTATCCAATATGGAACTGGGGTATCCCACATGTCGAAATCGAAATTGAATACACGTTGTATATGCATTCTTTATTTGGTTTTTTTTACATAGAACTTGAATTTTTTGGGTATTATCAATAATTTCTTAAATTTCATGCATTTTTTAAATATATATAATCTGAATGATTCTATGCATTTTATTTGTGATTTCAAGTTACCTAATCATTTTCTCAAATTCTTATAAACAAAACACTTGAACTCACATGTTTTTCTCTCTACATCCTTGTTGCAGGTTAAGAGAGAAGACCATTATTGCTACTGTAACTTATGATAATGTTGGAATAATGAAGTGAGGGTTAAGGTAGACATTGACAAAGTTTGGGCTAATATTTGATAATATTGTTGTATAAGTAGATTGAGTAGCTGTGATGTGGTACTATTTGCGATTTTGGCTAGGTTATGTACCCTGTTCTACTATGTTTTATGCTTATTTTATTGATTTTTTTTCTTTTTATCATTAGACATAGAGAGAGTGGATTCATTCATATCCACTTACAAAGAAAAGCATGCGGGAGTGTTATTATTTAAATTAATATTACTCACTACTTATGATCTACTCTCCAACTATTTATATCACTTAAATATTTTGTCAAAAATCTTTACTTTTTATGTATCTTTATGTGTCATATAATTTTAATATTATTTTAAATATGATGAATTATATATATATATATATACACTAGCGGCCGGGCACATGCCTTGTGCAAATTCAAAAAAAAATACTTTTTTTAAAAAAAATGATTATACATCACAAACTCATTAAAAAAAAGAGAGATAGAAAACACTTACAATTTTGCTATAAACAAAGTAAAATAATAATTCTTGAAAAATTAGTACTCTTTTTAAAAAATACAAATCCAAAATTCTTAGAATACTTACAATCAAAGAGATATAAATCAAGAAAAATAAAAGTTACATTGAAATTTTTTTGATATAAACAAAGTAAAATAATAGTCAAATTTTCTCCCCAAAGAACTTGACAACATAATGAAACTTTTTATCTTTTTATATTTTTTAATGAAGAAAATAAAAAGTATAATTAACATTAGTACACTCAAAATACAAAAATACAAACTCAAGACTTTTAGAACAATTATAATCAAAGAGATTTATATAAAATATAAAATAACCCTAACCAAAACCCCAAAAAAAACACACAAAAACACAAACAAACAAACAATAAAAACTTTTTTTTTTTATAAGGGAAAGCGTTCGTCGGCATGTAGACGGCTCAGAAGTAGTCCCTGGTCCCGGCGAACTCTTCTCTGTAAGTAATCAGAACAACTGGGTATGGGTCGTCGTCTTGGCGGACAAAAGTCACGTTGGACCACTCTGGCCTCCAACTCCGGGGGACTCTATGGTCTTCTTAGACTAAGTCCATATCTGAGTCCAATCAGGTAAGCAATCAAGGGTTCAGTGCTCAAATATTTAAAGGAAAAAAAATTATAGTACTCAATCCATGTGCTACATAGTAATAATATTAGAGTGTGTTTGTTTGGACGGACTGAATAAGGGGGATTGAAATTTACCGGACTATTAGTTCTTCATACATTGTTTTCGGACTATTTGTTTGGACTGGATTTGTATCCCATGTTTGTTTAGTCATGGGATTAGATGTCAGGAAATGATTATCTGGTTGGATAAAATATGAATCATATGTTTGTTTGGGATATTATGCAGAATGATAGATGTTCAAATGACTATTTTATCATTTTTAATTATTTATTAAGTAATAGCAATATTAGACATATGTTTAACATTTTAATTATTTTTAACTAGATTAAATAATATTTTATTTTATTTTATTTTTTACACACAATTAAATAAATTTATTTTTTAAAAATTAAATAAATAAAATATCAATAAAAATATATGTTATTTTTTAATTAAAATTTTAAATAAAACACCTATTACAATTTAAATAATAAATTAAATAAAATATAAACAAAATTTTAAAATAAAACATCAATAAAATATCTATAAAAAATTATTTTAAAAAATTAAATAAATAAAACATCAATAAAAATTAAATAAAATTATTTTATTTTTAAATTGAGACATTTAAATTTTATTGAATTTTGCTAAATACAATACATAATTAAATAGTAGAGGGTTAAAATGGTCAATCTCATACCCCCCTTATCCCTCCATTTGTGTCCACCCCCTCCCCCCTCCATGGAACACAATAGTCTAATAAATTTGGGACTACTAATAGTTTGGTGCCCAAATTTTGAACCAAACAACCTTCCCCCCACATGGAACACAATAGTCCAATAGATTTGAGACTACTAATAGTCTGGTGCCCAAATTTTGAACCAAACAACGGACTATTAGTCTATCCGGACTAATAGTCCAATCCCACCCCTCAATCCCTCGAAACAAACACCACCTCCCTTAAGGGTAAACTACCGATAGGTCTTAATAGTAAAACTTAATTACCATAAAGTCCTATTGCAAATTAAGTTATAATAAAATCGTCGCTAAAAATAATTTTTTAAAGCGATATTTTTGCATGTTGCTAAAAATTGACAATTAGTGACTTTTTTTTTGTCAAGATTTTTATAAATTGTCCCTAAAACTTACAATTAGTAACAATTTTTTTGTGACGAATTTTTTAAACTGTCACTAAAAGTTGAAAATTAATGATTTTTTTTTTATGACGATTCTTTTAAACTGCCACTAAAACTTATAATTAGTAACATTTTTGTGACAAATTTCATATTTACTCTGAAAATTAACAATTAGTGACGTTTTTTAATAGTGTTTGTTGAAAAATATCATTAATTATCATAAGACCTATTGAATAATAAGTCTACCTATTATGACCTCCACGTAAGTCATCCTAATATTAATGCAAATATTTTTTTTTAAGATGGAGGTAACCTGCAAATTTGAGTGGAAAAAATAAGCATGAGCTAAATAGGGGAAAATTCAGAAACTTTTCAAAGGTATGAATTGAAAAATTGTAATTTCTGCGAAGACGTGTAGGCTTGTAGGGAACGTGGGTTATTTCTTTATTTTTCTTTTAAATTCTTCTTTAGTGTATCAAAATTGAGTATTGGGCAGTTGATTAGGAAACATTTAAGAAAGAAACGTGGCAAATGTAATATAATAGAATATAATATAATATATTAGGGTGTGAGCCGGTTGCTTAACATATAAATTTTAATTTTAAATTCATATCATATTTTTTTTTTTTATTTTAGTGATGAAAATATTCTTTAATAAGTGAAGTGAACAGTCTTAGGTTCAAGTCTTGTATTTCTTTTTTTTTAATTATTATATTTTTTTTTTTTTGTATAGATAAATTGACACTTAACGCAAGAAGAGAAGGTGATTTAATAAAAGAGGGGAAAGAAATTCATAAACAAGTGAGGTCTAGATTTTTAATAATAGTATATAGATAGATATAGATAATATTTGTTATGTGAATATAAGTCTAAAGTAACAAAAGAGAGAAATACATAAATATCATTTCAGTTCATAAATGTTTGGGACTCCCACAAAGGAGAACCTCCACGACCCCCACTAATATATTGACTATTAATGTGTTTAAATTTTTTTGAGAGATTATATTTGACAATGACATAAATGATTTAAATCATTTTAAAAATTATAGAGATGGTATTTTATGAGTGTCTTTATCATTACTGCATTTCGGTTCCCTATATACTCCTTGTTCAGAGATCATTTCGGTACCCAGAAAGAGCAGGGCAATAAGATGTGGTATACCCCTAGTTGAATGGGCTGAATTAATTAGCAAGTCCAAGCCTAAGCCCCCAATCTGACATGGATGGATTGTAGGGCTGGCCTGTCAAGCTCATTTATATAATAAAAGCCCAACACTTTTTTTTAAAAGGAAATTGATTGAAAAATCTTATTAGGAAGATTTGTGTACTAATAACTCCTATTTACTTTTAATCGTTATTACAAAATTTTATTTTTCAGTTTTTTAGCATCTTTTTCTTAAAAAAGTGTTACTAATTATTAGTTTTAACAAAAGTTGAAAAAATTATCATAGAAAATCGTTGCCAATTGTCATTTTTTAACAATAAATTTAAAAAATGGTCCCAAAAAAAAAAGTCACTAACATTTGTGAAACTTTTTAATCTATACAAACACGTGCACATGTCCTTGTAAGAAGACTTGTGAGTAATTACCTTTTTTTTAAAAGCAAACCAACACTCATTACCATACCCATCTCTTCTTATGGTGAGAGTTGTCTAACCCTCCCAAGACAATATAATATGGCAAATTATACCGATAGATTTTATATTTTATCATTTGTGTTATTTTGGTCCCTACATTATTAATTGGCTCAATTTTAATCATTAATTTTAAATTTTTTTTAATTTGATATAATTAATAATATCGTTAGTGTTTTTTTTTTTAAAAAATTATCACTAAATTTGTTGAGATTAACTAACTGAATTGAGTAATTTTATAGTTGAAATAATTTAGGCAAATTACAAATGGTTCTTATATTTTACCTCTTATATTATTTTTGATCTTTACATTTTTAATTGGCTTAATTTTAACATTTAATTTTAGATTTTGTATCAATTTGATCCAACTGATAATATCGTTAGTGTTTTTTTAAAAAAAAAATTATCACTAAATTGGTTGAGATTAACTAACTGAATTGAGTAATTTTATAGTTTTACACTTAAAATATGACACGCGACACTTTTGTATGTATTTTCCATAAAAAAAATATGCTAAAAGTTGTAATCAATTGGACCAAATTGAGATAAATCATAAATTTAGTCAAAATCGAGCTAATTAAAAATACAATGACTAAAATTATACAAGGAGTAAGATATAAGGACCACCGTTGTAATTTTTCCAAATAAATTTTTTTATTTGTTTTTATTTTTACATGTGTTTGATTAATATAGATAATTATTCTTGGGTACTCTTACATGTATTATTATACAAGAACAATGAATATTCACTTCAAACCAAAAATTCTTTTTCACTTTTTGTTGCCTCTTCATTTATTTATTTTTCGTTTTTGTTTTTTTTTTTTTGTTTTTTTTTGCCCTCTTCATTTTTTTTTATTTGGTGTGTGATTAAGTCAGAAAAAAACCTCTTCATCTTTTGATGAGCTCCATTTGTTATTGTTGTCTCTTTGCTCAGAAAATTATTTGGGATGAAGGATAGGTTCAATTCGTATGAGTATACAATTATTGTTTTTTATTAAAAATTTTCATTTAATTGATGACCCAGGGAGTTTGAGAATGATCTACAGACTTGAGGAACAACTGTAGATGTTTTTAGATGGTCAGCAAATAGCTAGAGATTAATATGTCAATCGAATGTTTAAGATAAAAGTAGACTCGATAAAAAAAGATAAAATGTTGGTTGGTTGGTTTTGCCAAAATGACATTTATACTATTGTAATAATATTGTTATAATTTGATATTTTAGCACTGTAATATGTCAAATTATAATTTTGCCATTGTCAAAATGACAATTATCGTTGGAGATGCTTTTATAAGGTTAAAAAAAATGTATTTAAAATAATTTTTAATTAAATAAATAGATTTGAAAGAAAAAATA